GCGCTGCACTGGGTGTGCGGGACGCATGCGGACGATAGCACTGGGACCTTCTGTGGGGCTCCCTATGGGGCCACGAAACGCTGTACTGGGTGTGCGGGACGCATGCGGACGGTAGGGAGGAGGGGGAAGAGGAGGAGAAGGAGGAACGCGGGAACCGTCTCTTCAAAACGAGGACCCAGCACCACAAGATGGTTGGGAAAATTAGCCTGGCGAAGGACCCAACCATATGCAGTTGTGAATGCCGCAATTGTGCTGGGTGGTGGCGGACGCATGCGGGCGGTGCCACTGGGACCTTCGGTGGAGCTCCCTATGGGGCCACGAAACGCTGTACTGGGTGGGTGGGACGCGGTCAGCAAGGGCTGTGCTGCGTGGTGGCGGACGCATGCGAGCGGTGCCACTGGGACCTTCGGTGGAGCTCCCTATGGGGCCACGAAACGCTGTACTGGGTGGGTGAAACGCAGGCAGGGAGCAAGGGCTGCGCAGGGTGGTGGCGGACGCATGCGGGCGGTGCCGCTGGGACCTTTGGTGGAGCTCCCTATAGGGCTACGAAGCGCTGTTCTGGGTGGGTGAAGCGCAGGGAACAAGGGCTGTGCTGGGTGGTGGCGGACGCAAGCGGGCAGTGCCACTGGGACCTTTGGTGGAGCCCCCTATGGGGCCACGAAACGTGCGAGGGGTGTGCCAGAATGGGGTGTGGAACCGCATGCCAGCGCAGCCACTGGGGCCTTCGGTGGAGCTCCCTATGGAGCCACGAAACGTGTGAGGGGTGTGCCGAAATGGGGGGTGGAACCGCATGCGAGCGCAGCCACTGCGGCGTTCGGTGGAGCTCCCTATGGGGCCACGAGACGTGTGAAGGGCGTGCCGAAAAAGGGGGTGGAACCGCATGCGAGCGCAGCCACTGGGGCCTTCGGTGGAGCTCTCTATGGGGCCACGAACCGTGTGAGGGGTGTGCCGAAATGGGGGGGGGGAACCACATGCGAGCGCAGCCACTGGGGCGTTCGGTGGAGCTCCCCATGGAGCCACCCACGAAGCGTGTGAGGGGTGTGCCGAAATGGGGGGTGGAACCGCATGCGAGCGCAGCCACTGGAGCGTTCGGTGGAGCTCCCTATGGGGCCACGAAACGTGTGAGGGGTGTGCCAGAATGGGGGGTGGAACCGCATGCGGGCGCAGCCACTGGGGCCTTCGGTGGAGCTCCCTATGGGGCCACGAAACGTGTGAGGGGTGTGCCAGAATGGGTGTGGGAGGGGGAGAAGGGGGGAGGAAGGGGAGGAGGAGGAAGGAGGAGGAACGCGGGGCGACGTCTCTTCAAAACGAGGACCCAGCACCACAGCATGGTTGGGGGAAAAAAGAATAGGCGAACGTACCGTGCCCATTTCTGTCGGCGGCTGGTTCCCAGCTTCCCGGGCTCCTGAGATGCCGGTCGGCGGTCGGGCTCCCGGTTTCCAAGGCTTCTACAGATCTCAGTCAACGGGTCAGGTCCCCGAGCTCCGAAACTCAAGAGGTTGCAAAGGGCATCGCGGAAATGCTGGGCCGACTCCGGTAGGCGACGAGGTTCCTGGATGCTTGGCTCCTCCGTTCCAGGTTCCCCGGTCCTCGTGTCTTTGGGTGCGGCCGGACGCTTGGATCCGTTCGAGCAGGGGCACTGTAGAGAGACGCAGGTTGAGAGTAGACGTTCAGCATCTGATCTAGGAAAAAAGATGTAAAATAAAATAAAGCAATGTACGTCTATATCTATAGTGATACAAAGAGATCGTAGAGAGCCGGGCAGTTAGTGCGGGCCGATGGAGTAAATGGACTAACCACATGTGCATGTGCATGCAAAGGGAAAGGAAGATATTGAGAGAGAGGCGGACACATACTGATAAGATACTAAATTTAACATGTATACACTAATGTGTACATACATGTCACAGCTCTGCCAACGGAAATCGAAAACATAGAAAGAGTACGGCGGTAACGAATAACCTCATGCCCGTGAGAATAAACACTAGGGGATAACAAAGTTCGGGGTTCAGGGAGAGATAATACAAGTAGCCCAGCAGACCTCAGCATAATCTCGAAGTAAGAGATGATCAAGAGGAGACCAAGCCGAGCACGTTTTGAGACATCCTTGGCGTTTAGTTTTCATAGAAATATCCTCAACAATGACTTATCTCTCATGAAAATTGTTTGTTTGTAAGTGCTCGTGTAGGGTAGCTCATGTGCCTCAATTTCCATGGATAATCAACCCCAGAGATAAAAAAAAGTTCAGGCGAGCGTGGGGACAGAGAGAAATATAAAAGAAGAAGAATCCAGTAGAATAATAATAAGAAAGAAGAAGAAGAGGAGAATAAGAAGAGGACGAAGAAAGGAAACATCCAAAGTTCCAAATCTATCAGTTTTAATGTACAAACGCTTTATGAAAAATTGTTTTTTTTAAAAAAAAAAATTGCTCGTGTAGGGTAGCTCATGTGCTTCATTTTCCATGGATAATCAACCCCAGGGATAAAAAAGTTCAGGCGAGCGTGAGGACAGATAGAAATATAAAAGAAGAAGAGGAAAGTAGAATAATAATAAGAACATTGCTCGTTTCGTTTGAGTCTGCCTCCCAAAATTATTGGTTTCGCTTGACACATCCTGAAAAAGTGTGATCGCTTCGCTTGATGTTGCTATATCAACATCGCTTGATGTTGCTATCTCAACATAGCGTTTCGAGGTGATAATGAAGTTCGGCCTCAGCGCTCGCCGCCCAATTTGAATTTTGTATAGGGCGACGATAATCAACTCTAAACACTGAAGGGGGGGGGTCCCTTTATTATCATCGGCATGCGGTTAGATGACAGAGGGTAGATAATCAAGCTACGTGCGCTTCCACCACATGTCACGTGTAACGTCCTACCCGCCCCCCCTGTACATCCCTCCCATTGCGATGAATCCATGATGCGTCCGCCAGCTAGGGTGTCCTAGAATATCTTGGTGGCAGCTAGAAGACTTGAAACGTCATTCACAGCGCAATCATCATACGGTGACTGGTGGAGGAGGAAGACGAGGAGGAGGCGGTAGAGCATGAAGAGGAAGACCAGATGACGAAGGACGAGGAGGAGAGGAGGAGGTTCAGCTGGATGAGCACGAGCAGTAAAAAGATCAGGGTGTGGCGGAGGAAAGAAAACGATGGCGGAACCGCACCGACGACGAGGTACCCAATGGCCTGCAGACAGGGCGGGCACGCATGTACCTGCCATAATTCTGAGGAAACAGCTGATTGGGTCTTTCCCTTGTGGCAATGTGTTGAAGGAGTGTTTTTGTTTGTTGTCGTTGTTGTTTTTTTGTGTGTGGTGGGGGGGGGGGCGCATCGTTTGTCCACTTCTGGGCCAAGATGACGAAGCGATGGCACGTTAGAGTCCAAGATGGATCAAGGCAGTCTTCAGCTTACCTCCAGAAGGCCGCTAGACGGCCTCAATACCGCCGTACGGCTCCAAGTGGCCTCGGGGCCTCCCAAGGGTGCCCTCCAGAGGCCCACATCGCGAACCATATTGTTTCTCGACGAGTTGAGCTTCTGAAGCGACACTATGGCCACAGTATCGCCAAAGAGAGCCCCAGAAGCGCCCAACAGCGCCCCTAAGGGGGCTCCAAGAGACGACGCTTCGGGCTCTGACGGGGGAGGGCTAATTATTGAGGCTCTCTCCTTTGTGATGGACGTCCCCTCCAAGATGGCCCCAGGAGGGCCCTCAAGGCCCCCGACAGTGTCCCATGAGACTCCCTATCGGGCCACGGAAGTTTGCAGAGGACGCCAACCACAAGATTGTCATTGCAGGCATGCCCGCAAACTGTGTGCAGGCTGACCTGCGAGCGTGGCCGCAAACACCCAGACTGACGCCGACAGCACGCGGCTTCTGGAGGACGAACAGTGAAACATGACAAGACCCACGAACGGGAAAATTGCGCGTGCGGGTGGTGGTGGTTTTCAACATGCGGACATTGGTCTTGAAAGCCCCCAACGGCTACACGAATGGAGCGCAGTTCTGTGTCAAAATGTGGCTCTCGCCTCAGCGCCAAACGCATTAGTGGTAACAAACTTCAACCAATTACCGGGATGGGGGGCGGTTCGTTTTCTAAATGTTGCTATCTCTTGAGCGCCGCGTCAATTGGTTCCAGAAGCCTGCAACACTTAGATGGACGGAGGGGTGGGGTGTGGGTGGTTTTCAACATGTGACTCTCGCCGCAGCGCCGCGCACCGCACATTCGTCTTCACACCCGTCGGCAGCTGCACGGATAGAGGCCAGCCCTGTTCAAACCAACATTTCTGTTTTAGGCGATGCAAATTCCTTGTGACCCGAAGCCTTCACAAGTGCAAAGACGGCCACACGTATGCGTGGCGGCTGCTCTTCGAAGAGGGGTTCTCGCTGGACACTCCCGGGGGCCCCACGAGCCTGCCACAGCCAGGCACACCGAAGCACCGATGGCAGCTCTCCGCCTCCCGTCGGGGCTCTCGCCATGCCTTCAGGACCACAGGGCGCTCGTCTTTCCAAAGGGGACGCCTCCTGCTGCGACGCGAGGCTCCAGTACGGGAGTCTTGCGGCAGGCTCTTGGGCGGGCGGGTGGGTTGCGGCATCGCTGATGCATCTTTCGCTTGCCCTAGTCCTGCGCCTCCTCCTCCTCCTCTCGCATGGGGCCACCCGAGGTTGAGTAGAATTGTGTGCTCAATCGAACTCGTGTCCCCTCTGCTCGCCCTCTTCCTCCTCTCCTCCCCTCCTCCTCCAGACTCCTCCTCCAGACTCCTCCTTCAAACTCCTCCTCCTCGTCCTCCTCCTTAGACAACGGCTGCCCCTATTTGCTTCATTGCATGCTCCTACACTTCCGTAATCTGGGCAAGTCGCCTGACCTTTGCTTCTGATGGGCTGGTGGGATCCAAAAAGCGCCACACGTCCTCTGTAAATCCTCATCCTGCTCTTCACCCGCTGGCGAACTGAGGTCCAGGACTTCCGATGTGACCCTGCTGTTTGGTAGGTTCTGGTGGGAGGCGCCTTGATGACGTGGTCGTCCATGAGGCTCTGCATCTCATCCACAGTCGTGGAATTGACGATGTAAGTCTCGGTGTCCTTCTGGCGCTTTTTCTCGAGAGGCACAGCGGGGAGGCGGAAAAAACAATGCGAGAAGCTGGAAGATCCCCTGAAGGAGTGACCAAGCAGACGACGGAGCCTGCGTTGGCTCGTCGGCGGACGCGCGAAGGAGAACACGGTCCCCGCTCACGAGACACCGGCTAGGCCCCACCCCATCAAAAATACCGAGGATCCAGAGGGGGCACCGCGGCGGCACTACCGCGCCACCTGTGCAAACCTGCGGGGTCCTAGGGATGGCGCGGCAAAGGATGAGGTCGCAAACTTTCGGGAATCTTCGGAGACACCTGCAGACGGCGGAACCCAACGGCAAGCCCCCCCAACACACACACAAACACACAAACACACAAGCGCACAAAAACAGCGGCCAGAGGGCGCCGGCCGCCACTGCGGAGAGGGGTCTCGCGGGTGCTTCGCCGCGTCTGCCTTTCCCGGGGCCCTGGGCCGTCAAGACAAGACCTCGGGATGAACAAAAAGAGCGACGGAGAAAAACGGGGTCGTCTGCGCCGACATCGGCGCGTAAGCTGGCCACACGCACACATACACACAACAACAACAACAACAACAACAACAACAACAACAACAACAACAACAACAACAACAACAATTACTAGCACGTGGGGACACTCCGTTCTCACCAGTGCCAGGGTTTTCATAGGAGGCGGGCAATACCCCCACTTTGTGGGGGGGCCGGTTCAAGCTCTACCAAATTTCCAAACGACTCTTCGCCACCACCCACACCCAGCTTCCCGCCCTATGACGTTCGGACACTTCACTTCGTGGCATGCGGACGACCGTGGCTACTATTCAGGGCCCCGCGGCCGACGACGACGGCGTGCGCGCGCGAAGAAAAAACGAATGTGTCCCGCATGGTATTATTTGACAGGGATGATGGCCCTGGCAGGTGCGCAACCGTTGTCGCAGAAGTTCGAAAAAGTTGCTCGCAAAAGCCCGTTTGACAGAAATGTTTAAAAAGTGTTGGGTTTCCTACGAATCCGCAAGAGCGCGCGGGATGAAATTTTGACATTTTTTTTTTTGAAAAACCATTGGTTTTTTGATGTTTTTATGTTAAAATCGCTACGAACACTAAGGTTTTGGAAGGATTTCGTCTTGCGCGCGCGAATGTCCACTTTACCTTATTTTTTGCAAGGGATTCTTGAAATTTGGTTATGTTAGAACAAGAAATGTCATTTTATATTGTTTTTTGCAAGGGAAAGCGGGGGGGAACAAAACAACCGGATCCGGACCAACCCGTTTTGCCGGAGACTTCCTCACGAAAATGATGAAAACATGGCTGCGGCCTAGGCGCGGCGAGGGGGCCGTGCACCAGGGGCCCCAACAATAATTATTCTTTAGAAGTAATAATGTTCAACAACAACAACAACAACAACAACAACAATTACTAGCACGTGGGGACACTCCGTTCTCACCAGTGCCAGGGTTTTCATAGGAGGCGGGCAATACCCCCACTTTGTGGGGGGGCCGGTTCAAGCTCTACCAAATTTCCAAACGACTCTTCGCCACCACCCACACCCAGCTTCCCGCCCTATGACGTTCGGACACTTCACTTCGTGGCATGCGGACGACCGTGGCTACTATTCAGGGCCCCGCGGCCGACGACGACGGCGTGCGCGCGCGAAGAAAAAACGAATGTGTCCCGCATGGTATTATTTGACAGGGATGATGGCCCTGGCAGGTGCGCAACCGTTGTCGCAGAAGTTCGAAAAAGTTGCTCGCAAAAGCCCGTTTGACAGAAATGTTTAAAAAGTGTTGGTTTCCTACGAATCCGCAAGAGCGCGCGGGATGAGATTTTGACATTTTTTTGTTGAAAAACCATTGGTTTTTTGATGTTTTTATGTTAAAATCGCTCCGAACACTAAGCTTTTGGAAGGATTTCGTCTTGCGCGCGCGAATGTCCACTTTACCTTATTTTTTGCAAGGGATTCTTGAAATTTGATTATATTAGAACAAGAAATGTCATTTTATAGTGTTTTTTGCAAGGGAAAACGGATTACAACAAAACAACCGGATCTTGATCACATCGTATTACCTGAGGCTTCCTCACGAAAATGATGAAAATGTAGCTGCGGCCTAGGCGGCGCAGGGGGGCCGTGCACCAGGGGCCCCAACAATAATTATTCTTTAGAAGTAATAATGTTCAACAACAACAACAACAGCAACAACAACAACAACAAAAACAACAACAACAACAACAACAAAAACAACAACAACAACGACGACAACATCATCAACAACAACAACATCAACAACAACAACAAAACAAACCGCCTTTCTTTGGCCTCGCAGCCGCACGGGCGCGAAGGCGCGGCGCAGGCCGCCGCGGGCAGGAGCGCGCCGGCCGGCCCAGCTGCACGCAGCGCGGAGAGCACTCGGACCCACCTGCCACACACGCGCGCACACACGCGCGCACACATCCACACACACACACACACACGCACGCACACGTACACACATACACACGCACACACACACACACCTACACACGCACCCCCCCATACACACACGCACACACGCGCACACACACACACACACATACACGCACACACACACACACACACACGCACGCACGCACATACACACACACACTCTCACACACACACACACACACGCAATCACGCACGCACACGCACGCACACAAGATGGGAAGAACTTACGGAAATAGAGACTGCAAGCGAAGTGAAGTGATGTCTTTAGTCTCTCCCTTGCGTGTCTGCGGAGCTCTCTGAGAACCGTAAGCGCCCAAGACGTAGCCTATGCTGGATTTCGTCGGGCGCCCCAGGAGAGGTCGACGATGTCGAGGGACCTCTGTCCAGAGTCGGCATCCGTTCAGAGCGCTGGTCCTCTGCAAGAGTGTCAAATTAGAGACCCATGCGAATTGGGCCGGAATCGGCAAGGCGACGCCGCCTCGGGCACGAGAGGACAGCGGCCGCAAAACAGATGCGCACGTGAACCCTGGCATGCACATGGTAAGTGAGACTGCCAAGTGCCACTGCACGTGCGCTGCAAACGTCTCACACTTCTCAAAACTAGAAAACACACGCGCGCGCGCACGCACGCGAGCCGCCGCTGTTCCAAGGAATACCGGAACAGCGAAGGAACTTCATCGGCTGCACGCAAGAGTGACACTGGGCAAGAGTGACCTTTGGTGCGCGGCTTTGTGGGGGGCCGCGGGGGGACCCAACCTGGGCGCGCAAGCCGCTGCTCCTGCTTCGTTTTCAGCCATCTGGGGACCCATCCGTGCCCGCACCAAAGGTCACTCTGGCGAAAGGTCACTTTTACGTCTACAGCGGCGTGACGAAAGTTCCTTTGAAATTTGGAGGAGCCGTGGACGTGCCAAAATGGCATCAGCCACCCCCTGCCCCCCTTAGAATCCTAACAAGAAGAGGTTTTCGGGCCTCTGCCACGGGCGGGATAATTACCCCCTGGGGTCCTGGGGCTTAATGATCGTATACTTTAGATCCCGGACCGAAATCATCCCATTGGCCCGAAATGATCCCATTGGTTTTTTACACACAAGATAATCATCCCGGCCTCTCCCAGATCCCGGCCGCATGATCCCATCGACTTTCTAATGGGGAACAATTATCCCGCGAGGCGGAGCGACACACGATCCGCTCGCAGGGCACGGCGCGCCGCCAGGGCCGCCGGCGCGACGCGCCAAGCAACGGCTCTCGGCCGTGCTGGCTGTCAAACCGTCGAGGTGGTGGGCGGTGTCCTCATTCGGTGATTTCGGTTGACATTCAAGATAATCATCCCGGCCTCTCCCAGATCCCGGCCGAATGATCCCGTCGACTTTTTACGTGGGGAGCAACTATCCCGGGGTCGTCCCTACGGTCCTCATTCGGTGATTTCGGTTCTCTGCCTTTCAAAGGGAAACTCTTGCCACGGCGAAGTCGTCGACTTCACCAAAATCTCATCCCGGGGCGCGGCCCGCGCGGGCGCGGCGGCGAGCCCGGGGGTCAGGGGGCCCGGACTGCGGAGGAGGCGCTGGAGGAGGATGAAGGCAGGGAGGCCCACACCCTGCGAGATGCTTAAGAAATCATGGGTGAAGAAACTCATAGTCTCAGAAATGGAATAAAAACCATAACTTCTATCAACAATCTTGGGATTCACCTTGAAAGGTTAAGAATGATCGAGGCTCTGGACGAAAACTTAGGTTTTCTTAAGCATCGCCTAGGGTGTACGGGAGGGGAAGGCGAGTAGGGCCCAGGATCGGGCGTCACAGGCTCTGAGCCTAGGTCGGGGAGCTCATCGGCCATGTCAAGCCCAGGCCAAACTGGCCGAAGTCCACCAAGGATGAGATTCGCTGGAGCGTCCGGGGGCCATCCCGCGACAGCACGTGCGCAGCAGACGCCCATGGCATACGAGATGAAGCGATGGGCGGAGAGTCGAAGAGTTCTTTGGCCCCTCTCCGCACATCGCAGAGTGCTAGGCAAGTTTGGCATGCGAGACAGCAGCACGCGCAAGTGAAATATACGCGTGCGATAGTTTCAAGAGACGGCAACTGGAAATTCTGTCAGGGATGAACGCACGACCGAATTGTGCTATACCTGTCCACGGATGGCTCCCTGGGACAAAACGGAAGATTATCAGGGTGGGGGGTCCTGCAGGGCCGTCTCGGGCCACGAACCATCCTCGGCCGCGGAACGGAACCGATGGTCCCCCGCCTGTGTGATGGCATCCTTGCACTGGTCATCCTCCGCTCTAAGGCCCTCGAGTTTCTTGCGCCGCTGCGGCGTCGACTTGAGGGGCCCCCGTGGCTGTCCACCGCTCGACGAACGCAATTGGCAGGCTCGCGCCGACGGTCTGGGCCACCCTCCTGGAGCTAGGGATGCCGACGATGCCAAGGACGTCAGCTTGGGCGTCTGAGGTCATGGTCTCCTGGAAGGCGCAGTCCTCGACGCTGGCAGTCGGCAGGCCCTGGGGAGCTGGGCGGTGGTCCCGCGGGTGTTAGAGGGCGC